CACTCCAATAAATAAATAGAATTGAAACGACACTTTGAAATGTTTTCCCAATGAAAATGAATAATAATAATAAGTTTCAATAAAAATAATAAAATGTAAATTGAATTTTATCATAACGAGTTTGCTTGAATTTCCTTTCTTCTGAGATCGCAGCAATGCGCGACGGGTAAGCTAGTAGCCAATATTTGTCGAAGTTTATTTAGACGGCGTTCAGAAATAGACGATCGTCGTCTATCTGCAATGCATTTTAAACCGCGGTGTAGCAAGGCAACTTTTAGACGCCGTTCGGCTGTTAATCGTTATTTATTGTAACATAAACTTTCTCTGCAATCGGCCAAATCAGTGGCTCGGACCAGCCCACAGTAGGGCGGCATATCCGGACGGACCATTCTCGAAAAATTCTTAGGTTATTTTGACCAGTGCAGATTCGATCCTTGGGTTTACAGAGCGGTATACTGCCATCTCAGCCGCTCCCCATCTGCCGTTTATATGTAAAACAGTGTTTGATTTTTTTCTCCTGATAAATAAATGTGTTAGTTAAATTTAAAAAAATTAATTTACCTAACAGATAATTATTATTGCTCAAACTATATAATGTTGCTGCGATGAGACACGTATTAAATTCTTCCTTCTGTTGGTAATTTTGGCGATTTTTATTAAAGATTGGCTATGTTTTTTTTTTGTCTGGCAACACTTACTTTGTAGCGCGTGTCACACGTGTGTTGAAAGTTTGAAATGGATTACTAGAGTATGCAAGGTTCGTCAGAAACAAAAATGACGGACTTTAAACAGTTAAAATTAAATGATTGGTTAATTAAACAGTGTAACAAAATGGGTAATGTGTTTCTTGATTTTATTGCATATATATAATATTTACGAATCGCTGGATGTGTTATGTAATGACAAAATAATTAATTTTGAGCCTCATAAATATTCTGTATTTTGGAAATGATTATTAAACATGTTTCATTAAAAAACTAAGGAAGAAGCCTATGCACTAATTCTATATAATTACTGTTATAATTCATAAAATCCTTCGTCCTTTAATCAGTACAATATATCTTTAATCTTAGTTTTGGTGCTCCATCTCCATCCATTTTTCTTTCAAATGTAAACTTACATTTTCTTTCTTTTGTCCAGCAGCTGTGAATCGACAGTGGTACAGGGTTTTCCATAAGTCATTTTACCAGTTAAAAAATGAAGAACAGTTTTGCTGTTTTATATTTTTAAATTTGTGTTCCAGATATACAGTCAATTCCGTTTAATTGGGGCAGCTGCTTTATTGGGCCAAATCTCGGAGAATGGAAACCAAACTAATAAATTAATACATAATTTAAATGCTTAATTGGGACAATAGCAGAAAAGGAATTTAGTAGTTATTGATATAGGTTAATCTTTACCTACATGCACTGTCATGGCATCTCTCTGTTTGCTGGAATTAGGGAACATTGGGGATGCATGTTCTAACCTAACCTATTCTAATAAAAAATTACGAAATTATTAGAATAGGTTAGGTTAGAATGTGTGTCCTTCACTATTCCTTGATTCCAGCAAACAGAAGAAAGGAAAGAGCCACCATGACAGTGCATATAGGTAAAGATTAACCTTGAAATATTTTAGCAATCTTCCAAAAATATGTCAACACTATGTTGGATTCTATGAACACTTCTGCCAAAATGGCCCATCTCCAAGTAAAGGAAACTGTGCTCAAAGAAAGGTTGTAAGGTGAATTTTGGATGAAACCAGACATGTTATAACTAAAAAGGGAGAAAAGAAAGATCATTCAATCAGGAATGGATTGAATGGTCAACCCTTGTGTATGTCACTATTAATATTTGGTAACACTAGCGTGATGCGAATCAGTTATCTATCGTCGTGAATCTGGCAGATTTATAGTACAAATATTTTCTGTTTTTGGTTTAATAATGCATTAATATAGGTACCTAATTATTATTTTTTACCTACTTATTCACTTACCTGCATATTATATATTATTTTAGAATTTATTATTAGTTTAATTGGAGCAGCCACTTAATTGGGCCAAAATGGATTAGTCCCAATGTGTCCCAATTAAGAAGAATCAACTGTATTGAACTGAAAATTTGTGTTGTGGAATTTTATTATGGAAACTTCACAACAGCTAACAGAGTAACATATAAAAATCATTGAATTTTATTTTCAAAATTACCACTTCATTGTTCTAACACAGAGCATACATGTATTTGCATGTTTTAAGATTTGGGATTATCTGATTGGGTGTATATCTACCATCCAACAGCTTAAAGACAAATTCAGGAAGAAATTCAAGTTATACAGCCAGATATCCAAGGAACTGTTATGGAAAATGTCTTGTAAAGCAAAAAATGGAGATCATTTATGTTACATTATTTTACTTTTCCAACTTGTTATGTATCTAACATGGGAAAGTGTTGAAATCATGTCAAGTTTGACCCTTCAGGTTTTTTTTCCAAATCTCCACATTTTGAGATCTGAACCCAAAAAACTAAAAAAAAATTCCAGTATACCAAAATTCTGTGTGTGAGTGTGTGTGTGTTTTGACATTATTTTGTTTAATATCTCAGAATAAGGTAATAAGTAACAAAATTTGGCATGGTAATTTGTATGTAAGGGGCATTGATGCTATTAGATTTTAGTGGTTAAAGGTTGATGGGTTGGGAAGATAGAGGGTGGGTCTTGTCTTATCTTGAGTAGAGCTGGACTTAATGATTTTACTTGCTATTAGCATTTGCAATTTTTTATAAAACTCATCTGTACCAGCAAAATTAAGCTTTTTGCCATTTTATAATAATTGATAAATTATAACAGTTATAATACAGATGATACCACAGACAATTTTAATTTTGTGCTAATTATAGTGTTTTTGCCAAGAGAATTACTTAATTTTTTTGTAGATAGTTTAAAAATTTGCAATTTTTATGATTTATTATGTTAAAAATAAATACAAATAATTAACAAACAAAATGTTTATTTAATTTTTTTTAATGGTAAAGTAACTTGTATCCATTCTGCATCCACTGTCACTATATATCAAATTTGGTTAAATGAAAGAGTTTGTTTATAGTTTTTTTATTAATATAAGAACTATATTTAAAGCAAATTATATTCTTTGGAATATTTTTATATTAAAGAAATAATTCATAAAATATTTTATTGATTAGAATACTAGATTCTATTTTAAAGTTTAGTATTATTTACTTTATGGTAAACTTTTCTTAAAGGATTGGTATCACCAACACCAGTTCAGCTCCATTGTATTCCAGAAATATTGTCAGGAAAAGACTGCATTGGATGCTCAAAAACAGGAAGTGGAAAAACACTAGCTTTTGCAATACCAGTTTTGCAAAAGCTATCAGAAGATCCTTATGGTATTTTTGCATTAATTTTAACACCTACCAGAGAATTGGCTTGCCAAATTGCTGATCAGTTTCGTGTACTAGGAAAGCCAATTAATTTAGAGGTCAGTGAAATGAAATAATAGACATTATGTTATTCTTTAAATGAATATTACTTTTTTAAGTTAGAGTAAGTTAAAATTAGTTATAGTTACTTAGTATTAAGTTTACATACTGTATTATCAAAAAAATTTTTTTGATAATGTACAAGTTTTCTTACATATAAGTTTTCTTTTTAACTCTTGGAAGAATTACAAAAGTGTTAATTTAGCATCAATATACAGAGTACTTTTTGCATATTATATGTTTCATTAACTGATTTGAAAACAATAGTTACAGTCTGTAGCTATATTCTTAAACACCATTAACCTTATTTATTTGATTAGGATCTGTATTTTAAGATGTAAGTTAATTTGTCAAATTTGTGTATTTGTTTACTAATGTCAATTGTAAAATTTAATACAACATTGACATAATATGAAAATTGCCTAAGTTTATTGTTTATGTACATTTGAATATTAGAATAATTTGACAAATTTTTGATAAAGTTCATGAATTATTATGAATTTGTTTGATATTCCCAATAAATTTTTATATACAGTAAAGCGTCGATTTTCCGAATCAATTGGGAACTGGGGTTGTCCAGATAACTGATATTTCGGATAACTGATTTACGTACGAAAAAATAGTTTAATTATCCGTATCCGATTTTGAAATTTTTCTCCGTTGCGTGTCGCTTCACGTTGAATTTTCGTCGGTGTTAAGCCTAACAAAGACTATTGTATCGTTAAAAATTATTTTTTTATTTTGTACAAACAAAATAAATATATTGAAAAATATAAAAATAATAAAAAATTATACTTCAGATGTTAATTTAGTATCAAAAACGTAAAATATTTGAGTAGCCCAAGACATAGCCAAAGATTGAAGTGCCACAGCACTGGCGAAAATTTAAATTTGCTGACTGGAATTCTTTCGGATGATTGACTTTCGGAAAATCGACGCTCTACTGTAATTCTGTTTTAAAAAATCTTTTATCAAACTTTTGTATTCTATCTTCTATAAATTAGATAAAATAATACCAATTTTAATGTTCTTTTTTTACAGCTATGTCTAATAATAGGTGGTATGGATATGATGAAACAAGGAAAAGAATTAGCAAGACATCCTCATATTGTTATTTCAACTCCAGGACGTTTAGCAGATCATCTTGAAAGTTGTAATACATTTACTTTAAAGAGTATTAAATTTTTGATACTTGATGAAGCTGACAGATTATTAGAAGGCCAATTTAATAATCAGGTAAATATATAATAATGTATTCGAGAAGATATTGTATGTGCATCACCTAAATATACAATAATGTATGGTTTAATAAGATTGTAGTATAAAAATTATGTAATCAATTTTTTTTTTATTGAGACCACATGGGCACTAAGTCATCCTTTAATTACATAAATATTTGGTTACTTGACCATTTTTTTACAGATCAGTTACAAACTGGTAAATTTATTTAATTATATATACACTACCAACAGTATTCTTTACTTCTGCTGGTATGCTGGCACTATTGGTGGTGTATATATAGCTAAATAAATAAACCAGAGTTTGATTAATCTGTAAAAAATGTCTAGTAACCAAATATTTACATAATTATATGAATACAGATATAAAGCAGGGGTTGCTCTGGAAAATATAAGAATATCACCATCATTTTGCCAGTTTAAAATTTTTGTTTGCCACTTCAAATTATTTATCACCAACAGTTTTAGTTACTTATTAATGCAGTTGCTGGTGGCCTTATCAGATTGGTGTCTGGAAAGCAAAACATTTAAGTTGTTACAAGGAGAAGGCCAGATGTTCAGGTCTCCAATTTGAACGAAACTTGGTGAGTATGTAGCCTTAAACACAAACTATTCCTTGTTCAAATAATAGGATTCACTTCTCAAGTGTTTCCAAAAATAAAGGCCTCTAAAATTGAGGTTTCACTTATAAGTCTTTGGAAAATTCACATCTCTGAGCAATGATAGCCAAATGGATAAGACGCTAGGCAGTGGAGCTATACAATGGAGGTTTAAATTTTTGGAATTTTAGTTCAGTTTTATTTCTTTTTATGTGTAACAAAATTAATTTATTATTTTACTGTATCATTAGCATTATTATTACTATTATTATTCCTTATGTTTAAAGCTTATAAAACAAGAGATTAAAAATGGTGACATTATTTCCTGTTTAGCGAAAATAAGTCTTTGTAGATTTAACTCTTTTATGTTGTTAAATTAAACTTTTATTTCATCATGTTTATTTTCAAATATTTTTGCTTATGATTTTTGGAAATGCTTGAGAAGTGGATCCTATTATTTGAATAAGGAACTGTTTGTGTTTAAGGTTACATGCTCGCCAAGTTTCGTTCAAATTGAAGACCCAAATGTCTGGCTCTCTTTTGTTCTTATAGCAATAGAAATCATTTTTGAATAATTCCAAGTAACACATTTTATCACAATGTTTAAACAGTATTTCACATATTCTGTCGTGTCAAAATTTTTGTTTTAGTTTACTGAAAAAGATTGAAATGAAAAAAAGTAACCCCAAAATATTCCACAGATTTTCTGTTGATTGATTAAAAAAAAATCTCTACTTTGGAAATGCTGAGTGGCATTGCACGAAAACTGTCTTTGGTTCTCAATGTCATGCCCTATTTTTCTGCCTGAACTTGCCGCGTGAAGTCATGAAATCGGAAGGTTTGTGGTGCATGGGAGCTAGACATTTTGCTGTTCTTTTTAAGTGTGCTTTGTAATTCAGTTTCATGCTGAATTCTGAAATAAGCAGACTAGGATTTTTATTGCCACTTGCTATCACCAGTATTATATTCTTATAGCAAAGTGACAATTTTGGCACTATGCAACATGACCACTGATAAAGGCAAGAATTTCCTAAATGTACAATTGCATAAATTTTTTTCCTAAAGAAAAGAAGAATGAAACAAATGTTTAGTCTGACTCATGTTGAAAAGTCAATTTTTAGAACTCAAAACAGCAATAAACTTTGTGTGAACAATTATTTTTTCTTAGAATTCACAAATTGCATTTCAAAATTTATTGTACTACAGATCATCTGTGAATAATAACAAAAATTTTCAGAATTATATTTTATTATTATAAGTAAACATACAAATATCAAATTATTTTTTATAATATTTTTTAAATTAAAATATAATTTTGTTTATATTTTAAACTGTTTTTTTTACACTTAAATATTTTTTGTTGATTGCTGGTCTTGATTTGAAATTGCCAATCAAACCAGCCCAATTCTGGCCAATGGCAACCCTAATGTCACTCTATCTCCCCTAAAATGGTGACAGTTAGTACTGAACAAGTGCAATTTCTAATTGCTCTGACTGCATGAAAGAAAAGTTCTCCAAGACAGACATCATCTCATGATAGGGCATTGCATACTCTTTGCTTTGTCAACATGAAGGTTTCCAATAAACTAATACTTAATTGTAATATTGTAATTTTTAAAATTTTTAATCTTTGATTGAAACAGATAATTAAGTTTCTTATTAAATGTGGAAGAATTATTTTAAGAATTGGAAATCATGATGAGATTTGCTCAATTCTGATTTCCAGAAAATGCTCAATTTTTCCTATTTCTAATTCTGATTCCAATTATTCATCCCATCACTAGTTAAAACAGCTCTGAAGCATTCATGCAAGCATTTAAAATTGTTTGTCTTATTCAGTGCATTAACTTTTTTAAAATATTATTGTTCAAAAATTTCTTTCGATATGCTGTTCTTGGAATATAGCAATCTAAGCTTTGAAATGTTAAACTGATGATGGCTCAAGAGGANAATTACATGAAAAACATTTTGTTAATAAGCTTATATAAGTGTTGTTAATATACAGCGAATATTTATTTAAGCGAAGTTGTATTATAAGTCGTTTTACATTCAAATTTACCGAATACAACATATATGGCTGAACTGATGGTATTTCAAATATATCCAAGTACCACGAATGATATTTACTACTATGAAGAGAGTACTGAACTTTGTTTATAGAATGTGCTATAGCTGATTCCAAAAGTAATGAGTAACCTGTTTTCCAATCTTGAATATTGTCTTGAAATAGTAGTACTGATATTCCAAAAGAGTTGAAGATAGTTTGCAATTTATTATACCATAGCTGTTTATTTTTTTGAAGTTTACTTTGCCTGATATTTTCATGATATAAAGTAATCAAATTGTTATCACAATTGAATTTGAGTCTTAATAAAATTTAATGATTCGTTTTAATATAAACGAGAATAACCATGTGCGATTACTTAAAATATCCGGCTCGTATTTAACGCAAAAGTATTTATTAGTGACGTTTTATTTTTTATTACTTGACCATTCCAGTTAGCAATGGAAACCATTTGATTATCTATACTAATATAATAAAGAGGTAATGTTTGTATGTTAGTTTGTATGCAGCAGGTAATCTCCAAAACTACTCATCCGATTTCAAAAATTCTTTCACCAATATTTAGAATGGAACCTCAGGGTGGACATAGGCTGTCGAATACATGTCGAAATTACCCCATTGGGGGGAGAGGGACAGGATTAAGGCTTACTGTGAAAAACTTGGCTTCTATTATACTATTTTAGATGCGGGTTTTTGCGTTTTTGATTGCGTTTTAATAGGGTACGTCAANCAGGCATAATGCATTTCATAAATATTTGGCGACCCCCAAAATACTTCTGGCGACCCCTAGTTTGCGCACCACTGCTTTATACCACTAAATTTAATTGGCTACTAATAATTTTAATTCTATATGTAAAAGTACATTAAAATAATTTTTAAAAATTTTTCAGAAAGTGCCAGATATTGTCCATGGGGTTAACGTCATTAGGATTTGAAAATGTATCACTTCATTCAATGAAAGCACAGAGAGAGAGGTTTATTTCATTATCAAAATTCAAATCTAATAAAGTAAAAATCTTAGTAGCCACTGATGTTGCGAGTAGAGGTAATGTATAAAATTATTATTACAGTTGAATCTTTAAACACCAGGGAAGAGTTAAAAGAAGTTTGAATTGTCAAAAATTTGAATTATCCATTTTTGAAAATTAAACTAGTTTCCTGTAAATTTCTGTGTATATACATGCTGTCTACTTTGACCTTGTTTATTAATAGGACTTATATCGGAGTAGTTTCTGATTAGCAAATAGAAGAGATTTTAGTCAAAACAAAATATCTTTATTTTCACCTGATATTTTATTTTGATTTTTGATTAAGATCATTTCTATTTGCTAATCAGTTTTTTAGATCTTGCATCAGTTAATTTTTAAAAAAATGGTGATGCTCATTAGTTGGATTAATCTAAAAATATTGAAATCTTCTGAATGGTTGACAATATCTCTTGATTGCATTGTTTGTGTTATGTTGTTTACGACTTCATGCAATGATAATTTTATTTAATTAATATAATTCTGATAGCAATAGACAAGTTTTTATCTTGTTGAAAATTTTAAATTCAAATTTTTATGAAATATTTATAGTTAGATATTGATAATAGTAAAATTAAAAGTTACATATTGAAAATAGTTGCCTATTAAAATGTTGATAACTTGAGTATATATACATTTTAATATAAAAATTGTTTTCAGGTCTGGACATTCCCACAGTTGATATGGTTATAAATTATAATATACCAAAACCTAAAACTTATATTCATCGTGTGGGTAGGACTGCTCGAGCTGGTCGTGGTGGTATGGCTGTGACATTAGTATCACAATTTGATGTAGATTCAGTGCATAAAATAGAAAATTTTATAAATAGAAAACTTAGTCTGTATGAAACAAAAGGTAATTAATATTTTTATAACTTTAAAACTTTTCTAAATTTAATATTATTAAAACACAGGCGTCATTTGCCAACTGCAAGGATTAACTTCAAAAACTCTAGGGTGCTGATAAAATCATATTAACCAAAACAAAAATGCTATGGCTACTCTCTTCATTAAAGGAAGAATGCTAACTGTGACACTGAATATACATTTTATAATAATAAATTCAATTTTACATTAAAAGTACAATAAAAAAATTTTGTAAATCATAATTGAAAAATTATAAAACCCTTTTGAACTAGTTGAGAATAATTACAACTCGTAAAAAAAGCTAAGAATCAAAGACTGGCTCATTATATTTCCTTTGCAGTTAACGCTTTCAATATTTGTTTAAATTTCAAAAAATCTTTAGTGACCAGATCAATGTTTATAAAATTATCAGTATAATTGTATGCTGTCAGTAGTAATAGAGAAAAGGAAAGCATTGTTTCCAGTATTTAATTACAAATAATTTTTTTAATTTATGAAGAAAATATTGATTTTTGCTATGTTTTAAAATACAGTGTGAGATTCCAGGGGTCTTACATCGATTAATTATATAATTACTATACGGTTAATTATAACGAGAGAGAAAAGTTCCCTTACTTTTGGTATTTCCATCTCCCTTGGGTTGTATAAACAAAAGGTGAGTAAATATTAAATCTAACTGTCGATAATTAGCAAAAATCATCACTAACATAGAAATGTTGACTAGCGAGAAAGGTGAATTGTAAACATTTCTACATTGTGAAACTGACAAGAAATCAAATTCCCACTGGCCTATCCGGCCCAGTGATGACACACAAGTACCACTTCGCTGCCCAAATGAGAAGTTCACAAAAAAAGTCACTCACAGCGTCGACATCCTAACATGCCCCCAAAACTTTTGATAATCTTAAAAAGCAGTATTGAATATTATTTATTTAATAATACCAAGTTCATTTTAAATGTAAACAATGTATTCTTATATGTGATTAAATTCACTGAGGCTTAAAAGTGATATGTTTTTCTTTATATTCATGATTTTTAATCCAAAATAGCCATGACTGTATGTTTTATCTGATGTAACATCAATCTGTCAATCTGTATTTTCTTGGATAATTGAAGTTCTGTTGTAATTGCATTGTCCATATCATATTTTAGCTGATAAAAATCAAACTGTTTAAGATCATGCCAAGTTTCACAAATTTTGTTGTTAAATTATTGAAAATAATTCAATAAATTTGATATATTATTTCTGTAATAATAAATGTATAAAAATGTAGAATAGGCTGGACCAAAAGTTTGAAAAATTTGAATATGGAAAGTACGTATAATAAAATTCATATTTATATGTATTTAATCATTTACAATAAATTTCATCTTTTACTCTTAATTTTTTTTAAAGTGATTAACTTATTTTGAAACATTTATTTATGAATCTGTAATGATTAAAACTTGACTTTATAATTTATGTTTGAATTTATATATTTATTTAACTTTGTTGATTAAAATATTCAATAAAAGGAGATATTTTATATGGCTAGATTTAGATATTTTTTAATAAATTATTGTAAATAAATATTTTTATGCATAAATGTTAGATAATGTAAATAATATAAACATAATATTTAATAAAAAAATTTTTTTCTTTTTTTAGCTAAATACTATATTTAATTCCCTTCCAAAACAGAAACAAACTTTATTATTTAGTGCTACAATTACACAAAATGTTCAAAACATGGAGAAACATCTTTCAAATAAATTTTATTGGTCACAAGTTGAAGAAATTTCAACAGTTGATCAGCTAGAGCAGTTCTATGTTTTGATGCCAGCTTTAGTTCGAGATCCTTATCTTGTACATATAATTCATCATTATTTAGAAAAAAATCAAAATAACTCTCTCATTATCTTTACCGGTTCTTGCAAGTAAGTTTCTATTATTAAACTTTTTTGCAATTAATTTTAATGATGTATTTCAAATAAAACATTACAATAATAGATTTAATATAAATAAATAAAATATTTTTTTAACATTGTAACTTAGAAAATAAATAGTTAAAATTCTGTATTTTATGCTAAAGACAAAACTTAGAATACAATATTTTATTATAAAATGTCAATTTCATTGTGAGACTACTAATATGGAGTTTATCATGAGATTATAAAAGTAAAATTTTTGACAATTATTATCTGGGAATGTAACTTAATAGAAATAGCTAAATGAAAAAGAAAATTAAATCAATGCAGCTCTAAATATTACATTGCCACTAATAATTTTTTCAGTTTGAATAGCAATTTTATTCAAGAATTAATAAAGTTACTGACAAGTAGTTATGTATTCTTTATACCCATGGTGCGCAAACTTTTTTCGACTGCGACCCGTTTTGTAGAGAGAAAATTTTTGGCGACCCTTAGAGATAAATGTTCACAAATACGATGTATATTTCATGCATTTCTTTCGTTTCATAGAATAAAAACATCATCATATCTGACTCATATTAATTTTATTTATAATTTTAAGAAAATACTTTTTGTATAACATAAAAATCAGTACATTTCCCTTTAATGAGATGTATGTGGCTGCAAGTTTCTAATTATCTCATCGATGTTTGGATGTATGTTGCTAATTGCAATTCGCATATCATCTTCAAGGTTTAAACGCGAGCGGTATTTAGTTTTTATTGAAACTAGTTTGCTAAATCCAGTTTCACATAAATACGTTGATGCAAATTGTATTAAAACCCTGATGGCATTCTTGCATAAAACGGGATATTGCTTTTCCACGGATAGCCAAAATTTTTGGCAAGGCTGAGTCTTAAATTGATTTCGAAGAGTATAATCACTAATTAAATCTATCAATTGCTCTTTCTCACTAATTTGAAGAGTTGAACTGCATATGTCGTAGGAAAATGGATCACGAATCCAACCAAGATCGTTTTCAGGAAAATCCTTGAATCTTCTGCATGAAATTGCAATTAAACAGTGAGTGACGGCACTTCACTCTTTATATGTACACTGTATGGTATGTAGCATGCAGGCATAATGCATTTCATAAATATTTGGCGACCCCCAAAAAACTTCTNCTTTAAACACCAGGGAAGAGTTAAAAGAAGTTTGAATTGTCAAAAATTTGAATTATCCATTTTTGAAAATTAAACTAGTTTCCTGTAAATTTCTGTGTATATACATGCTGTCTACTTTGACCTTGTTTATTAATAGGACTTATATCGGAGTAGTTTCTGATTAGCAAATAGAAGAGATTTTAGTCAAAACAAAATATCTTTATTTTCACCTGATATTTTATTTTGATTTTTGATTAAGATCATTTCTATTTGCTAATCAGTTTTTTAGATCTTGCATCAGTTAATTTTTAAAAAAATGGTGATGCTCATTAGTTGGATTAATCTAAAAATATTGAAATCTTCTGAATGGTTGACAATATCTCTTGATTGCATTGTTTGTGTTATGTTGTTTACGACTTCATGCAATGATAATTTTATTTAATTAATATAATTCTGATAGCAATAGACAAGTTTTTATCTTGTTGAAAATTTTAAATTCAAATTTTTATGAAATATTTATAGTTAGATATTGATAATAGTAAAATTAAAAGTTACATATTGAAAATAGTTGCCTATTAAAATGTTGATAACTTGAGTATATATACATTTTAATATAAAAATTGTTTTCAGGTCTGGACATTCCCACAGTTGATATGGTTATAAATTATAATATACCAAAACCTAAAACTTATATTCATCGTGTGGGTAGGACTGCTCGAGCTGGTCGTGGTGGTATGGCTGTGACATTAGTATCACAATTTGATGTAGATTCAGTGCATAAAATAGAAAATTTTATAAATAGAAAACTTAGTCTGTATGAAACAAAAGGTAATTAATATTTTTATAACTTTAAAACTTTTCTAAATTTAATATTATTAAAACACAGGCGTCATTTGCCAACTGCAAGGATTAACTTCAAAAACTCTAGGGTGCTGATAAAATCATATTAACCAAAACAAAAATGCTATGGCTACTCTCTTCATTAAAGGAAGAATGCTAACTGTGACACTGAATATACATTTTATAATAATAAATTCAATTTTACATTAAAAGTACAATAAAAAAATTTTGTAAATCATAATTGAAAAATTATAAAACCCTTTTGAACTAGTTGAGAATAATTACAACTCGTAAAAAAAGCTAAGAATCAAAGACTGGCTCATTATATTTCCTTTGCAGTTAACGCTTTCAATATTTGTTTAAATTTCAAAAAATCTTTAGTGACCAGATCAATGTTTATAAAATTATCATAATTATATGCTGTCAGTAGTAATAGAGAAAAGGAAAACATTGTTTCCAGTATTTAATTACAAATAATTTTTTTAATTTATGAAGAAAATATTGATTTTTGCTATGTTTTAAAATACAGTGTGAGATTCCAGGGGTCTTACATCGATTAATTATATAATTACCATACGGTTAATTTTAACGAGAGAGAAAAGTTCCCTTACTTTTGGTATTTGCATCTCCCTTGGGTTGTATAAACAAAAGGTGAGTAAATATTAAATCTAACTGTCGATAATTAGCAAAAATCATCACTAACATAGAAATGTTGACTAGCGAGAAAGGTGAATTGTAAACATTTCTACATTGTGAAACTGACAAGAAATCAAATTCCCACTGGCCTATCCGGCCCAGTGATGACACACAAGGTCACTTGACCTAAATTGCCACACCTGCAGAAGATATAATGATGAGACACCCATCATTAGTGCAGACAAGTTTGAAGACAGAGAGATCTTCAATAGAAGCCATAAACTACAGCTCATCCTGACATATTCAAGGCAAACAGTTCAAAGACGACAGAAAAAACTGCTTTTGTTTTGCCATATACTAAGTGAACATTTTCCGAGTGACCATAGTCAAAGCCAGTTCTCCACTCTCCATGCAAATAGAAGACTCTGTGCTGGAAATCGACTTTACTTCAATTCAACCCGAAGATGTCAGCTCACCAGAGACATTTGACCAAGGTAGAATTATGTACACTTTCTCTCTCTCTCTCTCGATCAGTGTGGACTTATATAGATAGTCCTCCATTATTGCTTGGAAACCGAATTTAGATTTAGTATAACCTATTGTTAATTTAGTCTTAGCCTTAATCATAGTACTGAATGTCATGCTTGGTACTATGATTAAGTACCAAACATGACATACCATACAGACCAAATAAAAAGATACACCAAAATGCCTATCTGCATTTTGATGTATATTTTTATTGTATGCTTTTAATTAGCTCATTAAATTGTTATTTCATTGTTAACTCAATCCATGTGGACTTACTTCAGAGAACAGTCACCCTGTCGACATTCCTAAGGCCTCCCCACTCAACAAAATAGCCCTTCTAATTTCAACAAACCATCCAGTGACAATGTGAGCAGGTTTTACCAACCCATTGTCAAAGGGGCATTACTCTCTAACCCCCTGCTTCTCACAACAGTTTAGTTTATCAGTAATCAAAATATTAAATAATAATGAAATATTTTAAAATTTTTTGTAATATTTTTATTAACTCAATTCTTGATAGAAATTATATTTTTTTCGAAATTGCAATTGACAAGGGATGTTTGCGATTTAACAATAATTTTATACAATTTAATTGTTAAATAATATGGTTATAAATTGAATACAGTTAGATTATACAATATTTTAAATGAAATTTTGGAAAAGGCTCTAGGCATTTATCTTTACACTCTTATTCTTATATATCAATAGTTGTCATTTTTTAAAGTTCCCGTATGTTTTTTAGAACTTGTATTAATTCTCTCATTTAGGAAGCTATACCCAACTTCCTAATTGAGAGAATTAATATAAGTTCTAAAAATACATAGAAGAAAATAAGTAAATGTTCCTCTATGTAAAACAGACTAACATTATAAAGATTTGATATTCAAACAAGTAAAATGGCAAAACCGTATTTAGGACAAGACTGTCTTGGAGACTCACTACTAAGCGGAATCACTTTGACGCTCAAGGTGGGTCTCGTTCTCATTCTCCAATCTTCCTTGGTATCGCTGCTTTTGGGCATGATTGTTCAAACTTTGCCAGCTACAACCATGAGGTCATCCACGATGCATTTTTGATGAAATTAACCTATCCAATTTTGAAATTTCTCTCCGTTGTGTGTCAGCCCAGTTTGGATTTTTGTCAATGCATAACGAAAATTTCCCATTTTTGAAAAAATAATCATGGCTATTGCATCATCTGAAATTATTATTTTTTTATTTTGCACAAACAATATACAGTTTAACTTGATTATAATGTCATCGGATGTAACGATGACCCTAATTTAACATCAAATTTTTATTGGTCCTACGATTTTACTATACTAGATAATGTTAAAAAACCTACTTGTAATGACATAAAACCCTGTTCTAACATCATATTTGAAGCACTCCCAAATTTACAAAATTAGATTACAAATTTTATCTAACATAGAAGAAACTACATGTTCAGTTTTAAGGTCAGAGTTCACTTCTTAGAATGACTGTGGGTGGTACTTTCCCCTACTTGACTTTGGTGGGGTGAGGTGCCTGTTTGTAGAAGAGGGTTGCCATTTTGGATTTTATTTTGACTTGGTTCTTGGTCCCCTGACTGCCTACAAGTCTGGATTTTTTATACGCAAATGATTTGGGCACCTAATACTCTGTGCCAAATATCAACTCTCGACATGTACTCCTTCATACGTCTAAGCTGGTAACATAAACTCGCAGTACGATTTTATAAACAAGACATAGTCTTGTCAATAACAAATAAAATAATACATTTATTTACAAAATATGTTTCTTCTTAGAATTTGTTTTAATACAGCTCAAAGCATATTTAAATTCCAAACTGTTAGAAGTGAACAATTATCATTAAAATATAAATTTAAAGGCTCATAATTTTTTGAACATTTTATGAGTTTAATTTACCCAAAATTTAAAATCTAATAAGATAAAATTATTAAATACATCTAAAGAATTTTATTGTTTTTGTCAGTACTTTTGCATTTCAATTATATGACCTATGTATTGCTTAATGGGAATTTTCATTTTTTAGGTTTCTTTCATTTTTTCATTTTTGATTATTTTCAAATGTTATAATTACTTTTGTAAATAAATGAAAAAATAAGCTTAGATTCAGCTTGAGTCCATTAAAAATGTTAGATTTCATAATTAATATATCAAAGCTGATTTATAAAATTAACTATATTAGGTCCTTGATTTAATATACTTCAGATTTAACAAATAAATTTCTGATCTAAATGAAAAATTTATAACTGCTTTACTTTCTCAGCTGTTATGTATACATAACAAAGGAAAGTACTGGAATCCTGTCAAATTTAACCCTCTGACTCTTTTTGCAAATCTCCATGTGTTGAGATTTGCATCCAATAAAGTCAAAAAAAAAAAAAGAAAAAAATTTCATGATGTGTGTGGGGTAAAGATTAAGAAACAAAATTTGGCATGTTGGCTTGTATATGAAGAGTAATGATGCCGTTAAATTTTGGTTGGTAAAGGTCAAGGGGATGGTGAGATAAAGGGGGTCATGTGTATCTCCAGTAGAGTTAGACTTAATGACGATTTTCTTGTTATTAATTAACATTTATACTTTTTTATGAAACTCATCCCTACCCTCAAAACTTAAGCTTTTTGCCATTTTATAGTAATTAAAAATATAAAAAGTTTTATAACAAAATCTCATAACAGATGACTCCAGTATAATTTAAAATTCTTGCCGAGAAAGTTACGCAAGTCATTGATGGATTTTTTAGTGTTTCTGTTTTCTCGATAAGTTTCATTTCTCAAGAATATAAATTTAAAGTCAGATTTCTCAAGAATTCTGGAGAAATTTAATTATTATATAGTACAGGTATCTTATATTATAATGACTTATTATAACAGTTTTTCATTTTATGGTATTTTAAAATTTAGAAAATTAATAATTTAACATTTAAATTTTTTCTTAATTTCAATATATTAATAAAGAAATGCAATTTACTAAATTTTAAGAAATGAAAGTTCACAATGAATTGAAGAAAGGAAATAAAAGTGGATTAAAAATGTGAGAAATATTAAATTTTCATTTAGTTAAAATAAAGAGCAAACTTTATCCCATAATTTGATGTTTGTGAAAAGAAAATCTAGTAGATGACATTTCAAAAATTATAAATCGAAACTCGGCTATTTAGTTTAAAATATGCTATATTATTTATATTCTTAAATTAAAGAAATCTTTCATACATTAAGTCGAATATTATAAAATTATCAACTCGTACTGCTCCATTTAATTACACATGATAATATTTGTCATAAGTTCGAGGCATCTACATTTAGGGCTAAACTGGGTAACTAGCAATTCCTGCAAATGTCAGAGAGGCCGATGCTCTCCACGACCGGATAACATGGTGCAGATGTTATACAAGACATGCATAAGTTTAGAAACGTCTCTGCTCCTAACACAATGAAGTGCTATAAATTAAGACACCCGCCAAGTGTCTTAATTTATAACACTTCATTGTGTTAGGAGCAGAAACAAATTGCAAAGCACGGTTTCATATCATTGAAAGAAAAATTTAGAAACGTCTTTTATATATACACTTTAAGCATAATTTTAACAGAAGGCGTTAATGGTAATTATAATATCTATTAGTGGGAAGAATAAGGAAAAATAACTCTTATACTTCTAAACTACGGGTATTATATTCAAACTAATCTAGTTACAAAGTTAGTATTATTTTTCTTTAATTAATGAAGCTTTTTAAGAAAGCCGATTAATAAGATGTTAAGGCTGAATTTTGTTTCCAGTCTGGCTCTGTCTACAGTTATATCCCTTTATAATAGAGAGAT